ACAACCGGACCACGGGCAGCCAACAAAGACGTGGCCGGCAGCTTTCGCTAAACATGCGCAGCTACACAACTACGCATCGGGCTGAGCTTGAAAAGAAGGAGGCGTGAGCAGCGTTCGCTTGTACACGTGAAACATTTGAATGCTAGTTTTTCGTACTCCTTGAATGAGGTCGCCTATTGCCATGATGTTGGGGTAGTTAGGCACTTGCATCTGCTCGTTTACCACCACACGACCCCTCTGCACAGTTACACATCGACACACCTCTCACGCCAGCTGTTACGCTCAAAATCTGACTTAAACGTCGTTTCCTTGCCTCGTAGTTCTCTAAGCCGGCAAAAACGGCACATAAAGAAACAGATGAAACATCTCGCTTTCTGAAAGTATGAGGCTGGCAGTGCGGTAGTCACGTTGTCGAGATTGATGCCCAGCTCCTCCAAGCCCAAGTCCTTTGTGTACGGCCTGCGTCCCACTGCCACGAGGACTACATCACATTGTACCTAAGTCAAACAAACTAGCAGAAAGATTGGAAACCAATGGCCTCTATCCTTTAACAGCAAGCATAACTGCAAATGGGTCTCGAAGCCTCAACGGATACGAAGAGAACGCCAAGAATTCCGGCACCTTTCAAATCACGCACAAACGGAAAATGCATGAATGCGTTCTGCTTACTGCCTTGATGCAATACATGAACAAAACTTACACGAACACTACGCACAGAAGCTAATGGAAGGTGAAGACGCTACAAAAGCCCACCTCAGACGCATCTCCGCTTTTGACATTCTCTGCAACGCCCAGAAAACAAAGCAAAAAACTTCAAAAGCCTTTTCCGTCAGTCACCACAAGCAGGGCCTCACACAGCTCAGTGAACACAGTAGAAGCTAACACACTTTGCAGGAAAGCAACATATACATAAGACACAACCATGGAGGAACCCACTTCTCCATTTGGCTTCTCTTGTACTTTGGCAGGAATATCACCAGAAAAATAATGCCATACAGAAGCTATACTGGAAGATCCTCAAACGCACTTTCCCCTAGTCAAGCCTTACCCAGCGACAGCGTCACTCCGCCATCCGCTTTCTGCGATCCAACAACTTTCGTGCCGAACATGAACTTGATGCCCTGCCTTTCAAGTAGTTTTTGGAAAGCTCTGCCGATCTCCGCGTCCTGCATACAGCATAGCGTTGAGCCTCAACTAAAGTGTACTGTGCAAGTGACACAAATTAGTTCGGAGAGACAGAGGAAAGCGAGGCTGAGGTGCAGGGAACGCCATTACGTGACGCCCTGCGGAGCTCCGCAACCACGTGTAGCGTGAGAGGCTTTATATTTCGGTAGCAGCAACTACACCGAAGATAGCGGCTGGAAAGAGGTGACAAAAAAGGGGAAACGATGATTACCAGGGCCGGTATGATCTTATCACAAAACTCAACGACGGTCACTTCAGCTCCTAAATTCCGCCAGACGCTGCCAAGTTCAAGGCCAATTACGCCTCCTCCAACAACAACTAGATGCTTCGGCACTCTAGGCAGAGCCAAGGCACCTGTGGAGCTGACAATCGTCTCCTCATCAACCTAAGCATCAGCATAAGAAAGCATACAGGGCACGACACCACACACTTTATTGGCTGCGCGCTTACTAGCCAACTGCCAGTCACGCGTAGAGAAGAAAGTAAGCTCTTGTGTACTGTCGATGAATCTGTGGAAATGCGATACGGGTGAGTGGCGACTTAGCAAAAGCGACATGAAGAACACCGGAAGCCACTAACTCGATGCAGAAAACAAACCTCTAGAGCACCCCCAGCGAGAGGGGCCGGTTCAGAGCCAGTTGCAAGGATGACATTTTTTGCCATCAACATCTGGGGGTTTCCCGCGTCAATAGGTTGAACCTGTACGGCGTGAGGACCGGCAAGCCTCCCCGTGCCCTGAGATAGCCAGCAAACAAACATCCACATGTTTGTAACTGCTACGTCTTCAGCTGTCTCCACAGCACGCTGCAGCGCTATGTCGTAAACTTACACAAACAAACACATACGCTTCCAATAAGTTCCCACAACTCAGCTAACGGCGTTAATTACTTTGAGATAGTCGACTTTGTTTCGCTTGAAAAGGCCTTCAATGCCCTGCGTGAGGCCCGAGACGATTTTATCCTTGTAGTTCTGCATCGACGATATGTCCACAGAAACATCTGAGACTCGTATACCGAATCTGCTGAAATCGGACGAGGCTTCCTGAGACGAAGAGGACAAAAGGCCACCACAATAGTCAACGCTTGGGACAGTATACCCACAGTTAAACTCCAAAACTGCAGCTTCCTAGAAGCATCTAAAATCTAAGTGTACACACGAGAAAATGAGGTCTTATGACGGGGAAACAATCGCACCTTATACTTGTGGCTCATGTTCAGCAATGCCTTCGACGGGATACATCCAACATTCAAGCACGTGCCTCCTAGGGCTCCCCTTTTTTCCACACAGGCCGTCTTCAGACCTAGCTGTGCTGCCTTGATCGCTGCCACATATCCCCCTGGTCCGCCACCGATAACAACTACGTCATATTCACTTTGACTAGAGAACGACCTCTGGTGGGTTCTCCGAAACAAAGCAGATACGTGTACAGTGGGTACCGTTAAAGGCCTTGCGGCCAAACGGTGCAGCTGCATCTCTACGGCCTTGCACTGTAGCCGCAAGTGCGGACCTAAACGGACACAAAACACACGGACATTTGCTGATGAGCGTTTCCAATACGATGGACTGGGGTACGTACATGGCTCAGCTCGCACACTTCAGGGCTGAGTTGGCCCCTCCGTCTCCGCCGCGTGTCATCTGCTTATCTGATAAAGGCTCCTCCAACTTATGTTTTTATTCGAAACAACGGTCACTCGTAGGGCGCTAGGATCAGCTTCAAGAGAGCAGGGCTGCACTGTGTCAAGCGTCGGTGTTTGGCCGTTGGGCTACGGTGCGCCTGAAGCGGATAGTGGGATGCTCAATAAGCTCAACATCAGCTTACACAGAGAGTAGAGCCTTACGCTTACGTTAGTTGAAGCGGAGACGCAGAAGTGATGGCACTTCACCTTCTGCAAGGCTGAGGGGGGCGCAGATGGGCGAGGCGGGAAATAAAAAAAATAGAGCCAGGAGCTAATCGCGCGTCCTTCTGCTTATAATACTTGCCCGTTGAGAATGATGCGCTGTGGCTGTTCAGAAAAAATCGCAGCAGCACAGGCTGGTTGCCAGCCCCATGTCCCTCACTGCACGCAGTCTTGTGCTCCGCTGCCCCAATTTAGTTATAATCCTTGGAATCGCACGTGACGTCGCGTAATTACCAATATAGAATAAGTTGGTTCTATTCCCATTCCTTCAAAAGCGCCAGGAGGTTGGCAATTTCTCGCAACGGCGGGCGAGTGACGGGGCGGGGCCCCCAACTTGCGAAGCGTCGAGAAGATTAAAGGTTTGAATTCAGCTTATAGTCTCTGAAATGTTTCTTTCCAGTGCCTGCCTCTGTCGCTCCGCTATTTCTAGGGGGCTCTACAGTGGCCTTTTCTCTCGAGCCGCTTGCGCGACCACCGGAACTTCGCTGGCTCTGCCCCAACAACAAAAACGCTTTCTTGGAAATGAAGTTAGGGGCCCAGACTTCGACCCTCTCAATGTCAATACTTGGAAGGTCGGTAGAAAGCTCGAGATGCTCCCGTCGTAGCTCTTCATTTGGTTTTCCCTACCGACTGGTGTAACCGCTGAGCACTTCAAGCAAGGTAGATATATGCAACCGAAAAAGCAGCCGCGACTCCCGTTTAGACTGCCTGCTGGTCCTTCGGCTTTTGCCTCCAATTTTGGCTGCTTACGGTGACCTCAGCAAGAGACCCTGAAAGGCGGCTGCACATCAGTGTGGTATTTGCTCAGATCATCTGCTGTCCTTTTTCGCAGCTGAAGCCTCACGTGGCTGTCGTATCGTCGGGAATCTACGGCCGAGCACAGAGCTACGGGGAGTTTAAGCAGTTTTGTGAAAGTCTGCGGTTGCTAGTGTTTGTGATTGGCTCCGCTGCATTAGCAGCCGACATGCTCCTGATCCATCCCACCCGTTCCGCCTACTGGCGCTCCCTCTCGCCGCTGAGGTGGCCCGGTCTTTTCGTGTGTTCATTTTTCGGCTGCAAAGACACGAAAGGTGTCTTCGACTATGAACAGGAGGGGTGCACCATCAGCCCAGACGGCAAAATTCGAACTGCAGCGTACGCTGCATTCGAGAGGATGACGAGGTAGCCGCAGCATATCCTGGCAGGGTAAGAGCTGCGCAGCACTGGATATACAATCGCCAAAATATAGCTGCAACGGTCCCTTTTGGGTGAAAGTGCTGGTCAGTTTGGTGGTGCAGATGGTTCTCCCCGCGGCCAAGAGCTGCGGAGCGGGGAATGCCTGAGGCGGGTCTCGGTGTCGTTTGACGTTGCTTTTGTAAGACAGCTACATCTATTTCCTCCTTATAGGCTTGCCGAGACAAAGGGCTACGATAGAAAGCGGAATGACGACACAACGTATAGACAGCGGAGTGACGACACAACGTGGGGAGGTTGTGGGACACCTCTTACTTCAGTTGTTTGCAGCCCTACATAAGTTAGCTGAGCCAGTGACTGCGAACCGCGAATTTGGCACAGTTAAGGCACTTAAGGGTGGACGAAAGCCGTATACAATTATGCTGCGAGAGATCCAAAGCAGCAAAGGAACTGTACTGAAGAACGGCACTAAAGTTACTTCAATTAAACAGTATCATCTGTTTCCCACCGAGACCTAGGCCCAGTTGCACTGCAAACTCGCCCTATGGTATGCCCTTCTAAACCTGTGGAGGCCTGAGCTAATTCTCGGTCTACTTTCCGGTTGGGACGGCCTGGAAGCTCTTTCACTTCAGATCATTCGGGGATGATGCGTTGTTCAGTGTAAGGCCCACAAAGTTGTGGCCTCTAGGGAGTGTGGAGAGACCCCCTTCATCCTTGTCTATCTGTATCAGCTAGCTGACGCATTCAAAGGGTGACGAACCATGTTGCCTTTTGTCTTTGGTACGGGGACAAGCTAGCATCCAGAGCAGCGTCTGTGGCTGCGGAGGCGCAATCTCTGTAGCCCTCATCAATAAACATCCGGAAAACTGCACGCAACAACCCCAGTGCAGGCTTCTAACAGTAACAGCTTCAGAATGACTCAGATTAACTGTGGAACACTTCAACGTGGAACAAAAGCATGGGCGCCCCTACTATACAGAGACAAATCTTGGCTTACCGCCTGTCGAAAGTGTTGTCACGACAGGGACTGTTGTTGCGGCCCGTGGCTGCACCCAACAGAAGAGCTGATGCGGCATCGCGCAAAGACCTAAGGCGCTGCTGCGCACCGCTGAGCTCCTGCACAAGGTAGCGCGCTTCTTCTGTCTTTGCAGCAAGACTCTGTTGCAACGTCTGCAAAAAATAGCCGTCAGGAAGACAATAATGCTTTATAACAGCGCCACTAGTGCAACTGCGCCATGGGAACCAAAAAAAATGAAAGGGAAACTATGTGAGCTGTTCGCAGGAAACAAACAAACACCCGCATGCATATGCACTCATCAGCCTTATGCACCTGAACGTGAAGTACGCTCCCATTCACAGCCTGTTTCGTCCACTAATTCCTTTTAGCTCACCTGCAACTTTTCGTGTTGGGCCTTGACCGCTCTGGCGAGAAGCAGTTTGTCGTTCTGCAGTAATTCCACTCTCTTCGCCAGCTCTTGCCCTACAGCGTGCGCACCACACAAAGGCAAATAACGATGCCACAAAGCATGTGTAAACTGAACTATTCGAAAGGCTATACAGCGACCCACTGAGCACGATCACGTACTTTCCGCTTCTTTGGCGAGTTCGGCTTGAGACGGCTCGTCCCGTTGAGCATGCGCCAACTGCTGCGCGTGCTCCTTCAGCAGCGCCGCTGCCTTAGCCTTCGCGTCATCCCCACTGGCAGCTGTCACTATGGCCCACAGAAGCCTTTCGGCCACTTCATCGCACCATGACTCGGGCAGTAGCTCTCTACCCAAAACTACAGGAGCACGGTGCACCCCTCCCCCGGTTCCCTTGCCTGATGACGGGTCGGATCCTGTTGCTGACGGAGCTGCCCCGGTAACACTAGCAGTCGGAGGTGCTACCCCAGTTGGATGCTGCGAATGATGCAGAGCCTGCTGCTGATCCGAAACTGCAAATGCGCCATTGGGGGTACCCTCAGCAATGTCCATACCACCAGAACCCCTGCGGTTGCTTCCAGTGTTTAACGGCCCCTCAAGGACGTCAAAGCAGTCTGGAAGCAGAGAAACCGAAGAAAAACTGTGTATATATGACTTTCGAGAACTACTTGGACATACCCATAGCCATACACCCACATGGACATGGATGCATCCAAGTGTATGTAAGCATGCATGCAAAAGTGGCCCATGCACAACCAACCAGCCAAATAATTCATTAAGTTAGTTCATCCCACATATCGAATCCAAACAGCTAAGACTCACCATCTGGCCATCGTTTCCGCTTGGCCATGGGGCCTCCACTTTTGGGATTGTAGAGGCCCGTGTTTGTGTCGCTCACTACCCGCACAAGGGCGTGGGCTCTCTGCAGATCGTTATCTGCTGTTTCCAGCAGCGATACAATCAGCTGAGACAAATGAGACACGCAGCGGAAAGGCTTGCAAACTGATAGACTGCCGAACTCTACGTGTTCCACGGCGCAGCACCATACACAGAAAACACGTCACATGCACAGGCCCACGCTAAAACGTAGGACATGCTCAGAAAAGCAGCGCGCATTCCTTAAGTGCGCTCTATTAAAAAAGCAATCGGCGAGAGGAACGCTAATCCAGGAAAAGCACAGCAAAACTAACCCCTTGGTGTACAGAGGGGAAGGCCTTGCAGAGGTCCGCCAGGTTGGCTGCGAATGTTGGAGGCCTCCTAGGCCCTTCAAAACACACTATTTTGCTTCCGCTGTTGCTTCCATTGTGACAAGGGCAGCTACACGTGAGACAACAATCATCTCCAGCCGCTCTTGGCTGACCTGCTGCAGCAGGTGCCTCTGCTGCTTCGGCCGGCGCCGCTGCAGCGGGAGAAGCCTTATTTTCAGGTTCCCTCAAGGGAGAATGGGAGCCACCTAGTTCCCCTGTTAGGAGTCCCGATGGAGTCTTGTCGGCCGTACAGCGCGACGGTCCCTCTGTCGTCTGAGGTGACTTGCACAGGCTGCAGCACGAAGGGCCTGTGCGTGTTCGCTTTGTGTCTACATGCAGTTGTTCCTTTAAATCAAAAGAGAGCTCACGCACTTGATGCCCCATGGATCTGTCAGGAGATACAGGACGGAAGGAGTCGCCAGAAGTGGACAGTGAAGGGACGCATGACGCTTGAGGGCGCTCGCCAACGGGATTGCCCGCAACGCTTGAGCACCCTGGGCTACGTTCCGTGTAGCATACAGCCATTTCTGAGACCTTCCCACCTGTCAAGCGCTGCTGGCCTCGAGGAGATAGTTCGCACACCGGTATATGAGGGCGAGGAGAGTGTTCCTCCTGTTGGTTGGGGCTACACAGAAAAAGCTGTGTATCTGGCACGTTATCGGAACAATTGCCTGGCTCTTCTAAAGAAAATACCGCAAACTTTGGTTGGGCTTCAGGGGGAGGACCCTGAAGCATTGTGTTTGCGCCAGCCTTGCAGAAACTCTGACGGCGTTACCCCAGTGCACAGACAAACCCGGGCCTGCCGCTTACAAAGTCGGCAGATATGAAGAGAAAGCTGCGGCAAATTACACTGTTCGAGAGACCCCTCGTAAATGCATGAAATCCAGCCAGACAGCGTCGTCGTCCCCTTGTGGGCTACCAATAAGGCTATCTGCCATATCCGCCGAAGCCCCCGTGGGTGTGCCTGGGGAAGACCCAAAGCTGCAAGGCATGCTAAACAAGTGTAATGACAGCCTTTAAGACCAATAAGCACAAGCAAGAGCCGCAGTAATCAAAAAGAGGGGAGGCAGTGCGGCTCCCGTCGCATGCAAAAGAAGGCGAATGGCAGCAGCGCCAAAACGAGACAAAGCGCAAAAAGGAGGGAAAAAACAAACTATCACGGCAATTGATGACACGCTCAGCATCGATGAAAAGCAAATAAAGAAAGAATTTTGTAACGTGAGCTGCTGCTCAGACTCTGCTCGGTGCTTGCAGGTGCCCTCAGAGCGGTGCCTTTCTGGGGCCTACAGGGCCCCAGGCCTCATGATGCGATGAGACGAAGAAAAAGATATCCTCCCCTATCTGTCAATTTGCTTCAGTAGTTAGAGAACTCCTCAAAAGAAAAGCAGCTGAATACGTACACAAAACAGTCTTTCTAACACTCACGCATTTGACGGCGTCGAATGAGCCCATGCAGTCAGCTGTGATGCCCCAAATTACTAAGGCCCAAATTTCAAGGGCTCTGTCCATGACATATGCAGTTGAAGACAACCAATGACTTTTTAGTAGGCAGAAGCCAACCTGCTTTCACTTCTTGGACGTCATTCGCTACTCAACGCACTGCGAAATCAGGACGAGACTGGGACAAGTCTCTTGAAGCCTCTTCTTCTCAGGTGTATGGGTGTTTAGGTTTACGTATCTTCTTTGCGCATAAAAATGCCAAATATCATAGGCTTATGGGACGGTTGGTCCTTGGATACCTGCCATTGACCGGAGGATATTTAGCACGGAGAGTTTGAGTGGTCTACTCGCGGCCCAGCCGTAAATACTTTACATATATTTGCGTTCCTGCTTGTGTATGTACCTACTATACGAGCACATGCGTCTATGGGGGAATCGGCGTATTTCTCTAGACGCACCGTCATTTCAGACCCGCGTGACACAGCCAGTAACCTGCTGAGGTTTACTGCTTACCTTTCCAAAAGCTTCTGTCGGCGTCTCTTCTCCATGGGTCATTTTCCGCCTTCCTAGTACAACAGCTGTGAATTCTGCAGGCATGACGGCTGCGGTGGACTCCTTGTGCAGCCCCTGCCCCGCCCAGCAGCTTGGGCCGTCTCTCCTAACCGCGCTTTCTCACAGCTCATCTTGCTCAGTGCTTGAAAATGGCAGTCCGTGCGGTCCAGTACACCATAAAGGTGGAAGTGATCGAAGTTCGTGGCCTTTCTTTCAAGGAATCTGCCGGGGAAAAGGAAATAGTGCCTAACCCTTATGTCGACGTTACAGTGGGTGGCACCACAAAGAGCACTGTGCAGAAAAATCAAGTCGTGTCGGCGACGTTCAATGCGTCGTTTAATTTTCAAGCCACACTCACTCCTGAGGAGTTCCAGCGGAGCTATGTGGAGCTGGCGGTCATGCATCGCTACACATTGTTGGGGGGGGTGGGACTGCAGAGCGCTTTGATCGGTAAATACGTCTTTAGCTTTGCATGTGTTTACTCAAAGAGCCAACATTGGATGTACCGACAATGGATCAAACTCAACAACTTCGAGCAGCTTGTCTCAGATCCCGTAAGTGTCCCGTTTTCGAGTACAGTCACACTTCCCTAGATTTTACGACTTCTTGGTGACTGCTCATGAGCTTCCCTTGGTTTACAGCTGCGAGGCGTTGTGTTGGCAGTATGAACATCAGTATGTTCAAAGTTTGTACTCTCTGGGAAGCTGCGGCTGTTGTTATGCGCACCTCGTTTGGAATGAAGCATATGATGGAAGACAAAACTGCTTCTTTGTTCTAGAATGCTCGCGTGCCGTACTCTATACGCCTTTGGTGTGGACCATTTACTGAGTGACGGGAAACTGAGTTATTTGGCCGTCGCGTCTTTCTCGTGATTCCAACATGGCATCTGTACATGAAATGCATATCGTCTTACGCGTTTTGCTGCTATTGGCTGTGTTACTGCCAGGGCATGATGCTGTTGACTGTAGGGGTGTTCGGGCCTGGTGACCCCTTGCCTGTAATAGACGAGACTGTGGCATACGTGAACGAAGATGGGGACCGCGTGACGAAAGAGGTCGACGTAAAATCGACATACTACAATCTCACGGTTAATATATACAAAGGACAAGACATCAGTGAAGTTGTTGGGCAGATCACAACCACATGCGAGCCTTTCATTAAGGTAGGGCAGCAGGTGAATCCCTCAGTGATCGTTGACAGTCTTTGGGGTTGATGGCGATGATTGGCGAGTCATTTTCTCTACAGCTCGAGTGGTCCACTTTTCGTTGAGTACGGGGTTTACCATTCTTCAATTCATCTTTTGGGGGGTTTAGGGCTTTCGGCTCCTAATCATAGGCGGCAAATGTTGATCCCGAAACACTAAGCCCTTCAATCATTTGTTGTGTATATACATGTAGGTGAGACACGGGGGAGCAGAACTGCAGACGCGATCTTTGCCGGAGCATAGTCCGGAGTGGCAAGCTTCCATCAGCCTCCCCGCCTCAATGCCTTGCCACGATGACACCGTGCTGGTTGAGCTGTGGAACGGCGGCAGTAGTGCTGTGTTGATGGCAACCATGGTATTAGACTTTTTCGAATTGATAAAGAACGAAACGCCGACTAGATGGTTTAATTTTTACTGGAGACCGCCGACGGAAGGTAATGGAATGAAATGCCACACAATAGGCCCGCCTTCACATTCAGTTTCCTGACTTTCCTGTGGCTTTCGATTGCCTTCCAGATTTCAGTTCACAGCATCAAAGCACTTGTAGCTTAAGTCACTTTTTTAACACAAGAATCCAGCTCAGTTTTAGGCTCAGGAAGCCTAGGCACGGTGGTATAGCGAATCAAAGGAAGCTGTGAGAAAACGCGTTCAAGTTTGGTATGTAGCGCCTCCGAGACCCCACAAATTCCCTGGTGTGTCCACGTCTGTGATCAGGCCTGCTGGGAGCTGTGCATGACATGCTGACTAACGCGGAGTTGCGCCAAGCGAACGCATATGCAGGCCGCATTCTGTTAAACGCCTCCTGCGTTAAAGTTCAGGCGCCTCTACCTATGGGGGTGCGCCCGGTCCGCGCTGTGCACGAGCCCCCCCAAGTTGAGTATGTGCTTTGGGTGGACGTCTACGAGGTTTCGTGCAATGCGCTTTTAAGCAACGAACTACAGGTGGAGGTATCATTCGGCCCTCATGCGCTCAAATCGCCACCTGTGATGATAGAGGAGGCTGGATCCTACACCCTTGAAGCAGAACAAGGCCGTATGGAAGAGCTTAAGGTTTACTTGCCAGGTGCGATTAAAGTCGCAGTGCAAATGACCACCCCAGAGAGCACTCTGATGCCATGCAGCTTTTTTGGAAGTCATGCAGGCGCTTCAGTACAGTCTAGACAACGCTTTATGTGTGCATGTATATTCTGCATATGTATGTGTATACATATGATGTGCAGCTGACGACGCCCAGACTTGGGCATTTTTTTTGTATATCAGCAGCATATCGTCCGCCAGTGCTGCTGCTAACGTTGCAGCAAATGTGATGAACTGGTTTGGAGGTCTTGCGGGGGTTGCAGAGACGGACCAAAATGCAGAACCGGCGGTCAGGACGAGTCGCCTTGCCTGGGCCATGATTCCTTTTAGCACCAAAGCTCTCCAAGACGGCAAACCCATGTGGTATTCTCTGCGCGCTACAGACGGCTCTGGCACTGACCCATTTTCAGTACTTGTTTCTATCACATGCAGGCCAGCCAGAACCATGGGAGAACGGCCAGCAAGACTGCAATACAACTTGCAGCGGTAAGTTCCGTCTACAGGGCAGTAGAAGACGGTGGGCATTCACCGAGCATTCACCTCTTACGGTCTACGCCGGTTGCAGCTAGAGGGTCCCATACTGGCAAGGTGGCCTAGACACTTGGCAGTTTATCTTGTAGGCACGGAGTCATTCCTGTTGTCCCACTGCACGGCTCAGATACTACTTCCGAGCCCTCATCTACGAGGGACTACATCTCCCTGCTGTGGGATACGACCAGTTCCCCAATCCATACATAAAGGTGAGACAAATGCGGCGGCCTGGAGACAACGCGCTGATAGTCTGTTGTTCTGCAAATTTGAATAAAATCATTTTCAGCGCTGTAGCAGGAGAATCGCCAAGGAAGTGTGCGCTTTCGTGGGTATGCAGATAGTCCTTGGCAGTCAGCAGCTGAAGACCCTTACATTTCGACAAACACTGAACCCGTCGTACTATGAGGCCATGGAGATGGAAGTCATTTTGCCTGAGATGATGCAGTTGGCTCCAGACATAGTGGTGAGATTTTTACCATACCCTGTGGAACGACTGTCACTGGTGAATCATGGCGCATTATGTGGCCTTACTCCAAAATTATCCACCAGCAAGGCTGCGTTATCAGAATCAGAACCGCCCAGCAAGTACTTTTTAAGCTCAATATTATTAAAGGGAGTTCATGCTATGTAGTCTTTGCGCTTGCCTTTCGAAGACACACCAAGTGTGACGCATATTGGCTAGGGGAATGAGTTTGCTAAAATTGCGTGTACTCAAGTTGCTATACCGGTGAACGGTTTGCTCCCTGTTTTGGATATCAGTCGCCACTGATATTCAAAAATAGAAAATCAAGCCGTTCACGGGTGTGGCAACTTGAGCAGCAGATGCGTGTAATATCTAATCAGCCTAACTCCTTTTGCGCATGCTGCGACATGCAAGCCGCGAGACCGGCCAGGAACTACAGCAGGGACGTTCAACTTATATTAGCGGGAGC